GCGTCCAGGAACAGAACAATCTGTAGTTTCTGCTGGTTTTTAATTTAAACTTTAACACAAAGTTTCATTCTAGATATTTAAGACTGGTAAGACTAAACTCTTTATCATGTCTGATTGTTTTTCTGCATTTAAAAAATAATCATTTCTCTAAAGACTGAAAAGTTTGAACTTATTTCAGGCTTCAGACCTAAAACATGAAAATTAAAATTATATTTTAATAGAATAATCTKTGATTTCTGAGTAGCAAACCCAAACCCAAATGTTAAAACCTGGTTCTGAAGGCTTGGGCTTGTGGTGATGGAGGCAGTGACGGCTCGTGGAAAAGAAGAAGTGTTGGAGAGGGCAGTGCAGCAACTCTGTCTGAACCTTATGAGTTCTACCAAAACAACCGGGTCAGAACTTTACCTTTTATTGGACAAAACTACTGGAAACAGATAAAGTCATCTTATTTACTTTATATTCAAACATTTTTCAGTTAAAATCTTTTCTGGTTTGTCCGATCTGTATTTGTTTAATGTTTCTTACTCTGACTTTTATTTTGAAAGTCAGCAGGAAGTGTTTTTATTGGCTCATGAAGTTCAGACGGTGTCGGACTTGAATAACTTGTTTTTAGGGCAGTGTTAAACCTTTTACCACAGCCTCCCATCAGCCCGCACCTGAACGCACCACAAAGGACCAATCACAGCGCTCTCTGAGCTGATGACATCATCTGGATCCCAAATCTGAGCGGACAACCTTCCCTGCCAAATAAATGACTGACATTTTGTGGTCTTATTGTTTGTTGAAACACAAAAAATGCACCAATCAGAGCTCAGCARTCAGATCATCTTATAACAGTCAAAATAAAACAGTCACGTTATTAAAATGATGCTAACATGGAGTGCTGAAGTAACACAACTCATATGATTTACCACAGATACCTCAGGTGAGTGGGCGGGGCTTCTTTCAGTCCTATTCACACCGGATCAGAGTTACACAACTCTGCTGTTAGTTTAAATAAATCATTACAACTCTGACTGTCTGCAGAAACCAGTGTACTTTCAGATGATAAATCATGCAACATGTCAGCCTACAACGTGTCAGAACAGAGACACGTGAGAGGATCCTAAACGCAGCAGAGACACATGAGAGGATCCTGAACGCAGCACAGTCACATGAGAGGATCCTGAACGCAGCAGAGACACGTGAGAGGATCCTGAACGCAGCAGAGACACGTGAGAGGATCCTG